ACAACAATACATCAGAAGCTATTAGATGATTGAATTTATGAGGAATTATGCTGAAATCAATACATGAGGGAGTGTTTGCAGTTGCAGAAATGTGCATATAGTTCAACTAAAGGTGAAGCAAGTCTTTCAAGATACAGCAAGAAATTAGTTTAATTATAGAAGCGAATGAAGAAATTAGTATTTGAATTGCAACACTGCAGCTGCACAGATTGCTATGAATCAACATGTTTCATTTGCAAATCAAATTCAAAGTGAACCAAACTGATGAGTCATGCTTTTGCCTTATTTAACGTTACTCACTATTTCCTGGAGCGGACACTTGGACTTGAGCCACTCGAACAGCGCGTCGTTCCTGAAGGCTGCCGTCGTTCCTCCGTGGCTCCGCTGAACGGCAGCGATGGTCGCCGCGTTCCTCACGATCTCAATCATACCTGGAATCAAAGAAAGGTCTCCTTTCACTTCTGTAAAAACACTTTGGACATGGCAGCGTTGACGCTAGACATGATCCATCCAGAGAGCATTCAGTCACCGAGTTCCTCTTTTATTAAGTCATTTGCAAATCCTAGATTGGGACAAAAGGGGTTCTGAGAGAAAAACTCTACATGATCAGCAACTAATCAAGTTACTTTACAGGAATGCTGACCCCTTAAAAAGCCTCTTTCAGGCTGATTTGAGTTTTGTTGGGTAAATTCTACTGATTTTAAGAAACACAATGAGTCCATGATGCTGATACCAATGTTGTGTCCGGTGGAGATGCAGCCGTACGGAATAAGGTTCAGATCCAGAGACTTCTCCTGCCAGATGGAGTCCATCACCACCAGCGTCTAAACGGGAAAGAAGCAGGGGTGACGGTTTATGCAAAGTACAATCACCGCTACAAAACACCGACATCCTGATTGAAGGCGGTGAAAGTGGACCTGAATGACCAGCATGTCCTGTCGGAGGTCGTCCCCCTCTTTGAAGATGATTCCCACCGGCGTCGCTGGAGTCGGCGACGGCATCGGAGAGAACTCCAGCCACAGAGGCTTCTTCTTGGACGCCATCACTTTGCATTTGTCCAGCTGGATCGGAGAGATTTGCTTATGTAACAGAGTTGTTTGCAAAGGGCTTGAAATCAGTGACGAGGTTAAACATGTGCAAAAGTCTTTTGGTTATTTCAGACCAGGATGAGGCAGAGTTTGAGTTTTTGAACAACAAGAATGAAGAAGCTGGAGAAAGAAGAATGAACACAGTGACCTCATGAGAGCCACGAATCCAGATGAGCCTCAAGGTTTCTTCACTTTCTGGTCACATGAGTTCAAGAACTGCACGGTACCATCTTTTTTTGTTATTAGCTATTTTGTTTTTGCATTTGTCTAAAGAGGGAAACTGATTTCTACCATCTGCTGCTTTGTTGCAAAAAGAAAACGGTAACTCGCTTAAAGTGACTCGTGAAGCGACACTTTTCCTCATGTGGAAAATAATTGAGGCTTTTATTTTGATAGGGTTCCAGAAACAAAGCAAGCAAAAATGTTGAAGTTGCACTGCAGGCTGTGTAGATCGCAAACACGTCACGTAAAAAACATCGATGCTGTGTTAAGAGTTCAAACAAAATCCCCCAAATCTTACTTTTAATACATATTGTTGCTCTATGTTGGTAAAACATGGAGCTTTAACCACACATGAAAAACTCAACATGCAAAGTTAATTTAAACAACAAAGTAACAGGACAAACATTTTTTATTCACTTTACTGTCACCCAACCAGCCTAAACGCTCTCAAACAGAACAAGAGGAAAGCTCACCAGGATCCTTCCAGCTTTGATTCGAGGGTCGAAGGGCAGCAGGAACTGGTCGGGCAGCTTGCTGGTTCTGAGCAGCTCCTGAAGCCGGAGAGGAGCTGAAATAAGAACGACAAGGACGCAGTTAGACAATTTAGTAAAATGCACGGTGATGCTTTTTTAAACAAAATGATCCAGATGTGGAGGAAACCCAGTTAGCTTATATAAGATGTTTTTCTACCAGAACACAACTAATGACTGACCGTTGTTATTCTTGAACATCTCTTTTCATATTAAAAGTTTTCCATTTATGTCGTTATGAGCAGAACTCTGCTGATGAACCCCTGCTGTCGTGTCATTAATAATCCCTGTGTGATCTCGCTGCTCTGCTCTGGCGTCACGTGAAAAATACACTTTCAGACCCTCCAAAGAGGCTGAAAGGTGGTTAGCACTGTTGCAGCTAGAAGGTCGCCGGTTCACGTCCCGGTGAGGACACCTGGGATCTTTCTGCGTGGAGTTTGCATGTTCTCCCCGTGCAGCGTGGGTTCTCTCCAGGTTCTCCGGCTTCCTCCCACAGTCCTAAACCATGCTGAGGTTAATTGGTGATTCTAAATTGTCTGTAGGTGTGAATGTGAGTGTGCTTGGTTGTCTGTCTCTAAGTGTAGCCCTGTGATAGACTGGTTACCTGTCCAGGTGAACCTGCCTTCACCCTGAGTCAGCTGGGATAGACTCCAGCCCCCCATGACCCTAGTGAGGCCCAAGTGGTGTATAGATGATGGATGGACACTCCAAAGAGAACCATTTTATTCAGTAGAAGGTTGCTGAAAGTGAGCCTGAGTGGAGCTTTTCTTTGTTCTCCTGAAGTCGTGAACAATAGATCAACTGGACGTCATCAATCTACATCTGATCCAAATCATCTGGTTCCTTCTGCTCAAGCATCTCTGATATAGATGAAACTTTTCTTATCATAAACTCTAGATGTTGAAAATGGTTTCTGTGAAATTGTAGTTCGATGCATCAAATACTCTCAGAGATAGAAAGTTTTTTAAAAATCGCCCGTCGGCCCACTTTCAGCAGGTTTTTCCTCACATTGAAATTTGAGGCTGTTTGAACGACAACATCTCAGAAACTATGAGAGATAAAAACCTGACATTTCCACTGTTATTTCTCATCATTGATTCAGAATCTGTAATATCGGACAAGTAGATGAAAAATTCTCTAATTATGACTGAGTTGAAATAAGAGGTCAAACTGAAGCAAAGTTAAAGTTGTTTTTGTTGAACTTTCATAACTGACTGAGCAGGTTTGACAACAACAAAAACTAAGATATTGGTAGACGTCTGATTCAAGTGGAACAGAGATATAACTGACAAAATATATATGCTTCTTTAAATATGGGCACATTTTACATTTTCAGATCCCACTTTGTTCACTGGACAGGCAGATTGTTACCTTTCAGACCTATTGAATTAATTTGCTGATTGGACGAGATGCTTGAAGGTAAACATGTCAAGACATAAACGATTCTGTGTTTTTGGTTTGATTATACTGATCTGCAATATTGGACAAGTAGATGAAAATAGTCTCTGATTATGAGTGGAATAATTGAAGCTGTCAAAAACCGTGTAATGCAGAAGTCAGATGGTGTTTGGTGGGGCTGCTTTTATCTTTAACATTTCCTGAGATGCTGTTGCTCAAACACTCTTAAACTTCAATGTGCAGGATAAAAACCTGCTGGTGATTTTTCAGTAATTGGATGTTCTTAGCTGAGCCCCACCGGTAGGCGCGAGGTCCGTCTTGTCTGGATAGAGGCTCTTGATGACCAGAGCCACCTCCTGCAGGGCCTCCACAGCCTGGACCTGCTGGCCGAAGCTGTCCAGCATGGCCTGGCCGCAGCCCAGCAGGTAGGCCTCCAGGATCACCGCCATGCGCTGCCGGAAGTACGGACAGCCGGCCACCTCGCTGCGGACGTACCAGAAGAAGAAGTGGCCGATCCTCTTGCTCTGCAGTGAGACACGAGAGGTTCAGTCCAGGTTCAGCATCAGCAGGCTGCAAGAACCTGTACAGGGACTTTTCATCAACCAAACCAGAAGAACAACACGGTCCAATCAACGGCTGGCATCCTACATGAAGGTCATCTGATATTTTCATAGCATAAAATATGGAGTTGTAAAATTTATGTTTGATATATCGAAGGCTTTTCAAGATAAATCGCTTTTAAAAATTGCCTTTTTTTATTTTCTCACATTGAAATGACAATATCTGAGGAACTCTTAAAGATAAAAACCTGAAGTTTTCACGGTTATTTCTCATCATGTCATTAACTCAGAATCTGCAGAATCGGACACATAGAGCAAATAATCTCTGAATATGGCTGAGTTGAAATATGAAGGAAAAAAATGTGGTGATGTGAGTGTTTGGTGCTGATTGGGTCTTTTTGGTGTTTGGTTGTGGATGCAGTTGTTGATGTGCAGGCTGGGCAGGATGTTTACTCAGCCTCCTCCACACCGGTCGATGATCAACGCTGGATAAAGCCTGCCTCCACATGCGCCGCTCCAGTGCGAGTGGATTAATCGCCTCAGCGTGGCAACAGGCGCTAGAGAGCTTTGTATTTTGTTGAACCATCGTCGGTCTACCCGCTCAGCTCTGCCTACAGAACCAGCCTCTGTCCTCACGGCTCCCAGTGAAACTTCCCAGGATTTCCCTCACCCCCTCGGCTACCTTCACAAGCTCCCCGGTGTCCCTGGATTCCCTGCTGTTGCACTAAGAAATCTGGTTTTCACTTCCTAACTCGGTGTTTGCATCTTTGCATCCAGCCATAGACAGAAACCAGACGTCAACTCGTGATATTTTCTGAACCACATGTAGCTGCAGGTCACAACAACACAACAGTAAACATATGGAAGACTTTAATATGAAATAATTGGTCACAAAAATGAAAATAAAGCTTTTTTTTGTTAACCTTTTAGAACTAACTGAGCAGAAATTACAAGCTCTATGACAGAAACAAAAACATCGGCATGGTATTATTTATTTTGGACTCCACTTTTTAGGAATAAAGGTTGATTTAAAGGAGACTTGTCATGAAGTTTTGTGCAATTTCTTTGCTAATTATCACCGTATTTAGTCAATGTGACGACATCAGTAACATAAAACCAAACACACAGATCTGTTTTCATTTTTCTAGCGAGAATCGTTCATGTCTTGACACGTTTACCTTCAAGCATCTCGTCCAATCAGCAAATTAATTCATTAGGTATAAAAGGCAGCAGTTCAATCTGCCTGTCCAGTGAACAAAGTGGGATCTAAAAATGTAAAATGTGCCCATATTTAAAGAAGCATGTACATTTTGTCAGTTATATCTCTGTTCTACTCAAATCAGACGTCTACCAATATTTTAGTTTTTGTTGTTGTCAGACCTGCTCAGTCAGTTATGAAAGTTCAACAAAAATAACTGTCTTTTCATTTGTGTGACCAAGTATTTCACATTTAATTTAATTTTTAATTGTTTATTGTGACCTGCAGCTGCGTATTGATTTCTGCATTGTTGAGCTCAGTGATGGAACTTTGCTGTGACGGCTTCAGTTTGACCTCTTATTTCAACTCAATCAGAGAATTTTTCATCTACTTGTCCGATATTACAGATTCTGAATCAATGATGAGAAATAACAGTGAAAATGTCAGGCTTTTATCTTTTATAGTTTCTGAGATGTTGTCGTTCAAACAGCCTCAAATTTCAATGTGAGATAAAACCTGCTGAAAGTGGGTCGACGGGCGATTTTTAAACAACTTTCTATCTCTGAGAGTATTTGATGCATCAAACTACAATTTCACAGAAACCATTTTCAGCATCTAGAGTTTATGATAAGAAAAGTTTCATCTAAATCAGAGATGCTTGAGCAGAAGGAACCAGATGATTTGAGCTTCTGTGACGACCTACAGGCGTTCATCAGCAGAGTTCTGCTCATAACGGCTTGAAGAGAAATAAATGAAACTTCAAATGAATACGTTTCAGTATCTTTGTTAATGTTTGTGTTTTAAAGTAAATGTTCTTGTCTGTCATTGTTAAAGAAGACCTAAACATGATCAGATACTAACGTGTTCACAGCACTCATAAATCATAAATCATCTTCTGCACGTCTAATTAGATGCTAAATTGCATTTTGTCGTCTTCGTGCTCCGTGCAATGATAGGTTCAATCTAATCTAAGTAAATCTAATCTATTCCTGGTTTTGCCTGACAGCTTTTCACATTTGCAGTCACTGTAACTGATTTGCACATGTCTACATTGTAAAACTGACACTGAAACTATATAAATTATCTTTTTTTATGTATATATTGAGCTGTGAGCTACTGAAACATGCATATCAAGGACTTATTTTATATTTGCAAGCTTCATGTATGAAATTTATTTAAATTAGCTAAAGACCAGCCCCGACCGAAAACCTTTAGCACACAACTTATTAGAAATATTCTTTAAAAAGGGAGGAAAGTGACTGATATTCCTTATGCTTGTACTGCAGTTTATTGTGAATGAATATGAACAAATGATGCTGCTCGACTCACCCGCAGAGCTCTCTGGATGAGGTACCGAGCGAGGAAACTGTCGTGGTAAGGTTCCACTTTAAGGGTCTGTAAGAGCAGAAAAGGTGAAATAAAAACGGTTACACTCATTAATAGTCTCTTAGTGAATCCAAACTTTACAAAAAAATTCGTATGAAATGCTTAAATTTGTTCAAAGTTTACTGAATATGCAGAACATGAACCTGGAACTACGTAAAGCTCGTAGGTCTGAAGCATCTTCTTGTTATCTGGCTTCACTACAATGAACAAATAAACCTTCTCACGAGGCCGGTTACCAAGTCAGTAAGTCAGCCAGGGTTTCTGAACCTGGATGTAAAGGAGGGCAACAGATGAAAACCAGAAAAACTAAGATTTTAAACACATAATAGAGACTGAAAGCAACACAGCTGCAGCAGCCAAAGGGAAGGAAAGCTGCAAAAAAAACGACAGATTGTGTAAACGTTCACAGGTTTACAGTCATATTATGAGGATACGAGTGGATCCAACTATACTTATAGATTCCACTGGATCAGGGGTGTCCAATCCTGGTCCTCGAGGGCCACAAATGATCAGGATCGTTATCAGGCTTCTGCAGAGCTTGATGATGAGCTGATCATTTGAATCAGGTGTGTTGGAAGAAGGAAACATCTAAAACATGCAGGACTGTGGCCCTCGAGGACCAGGATTGGACACCCCTGCACTAAATAAATGTGTTGCTTAGATGTCTGGTATGTAGAATAAGACAGCTTCATTCTTTCAGCTGCTTGGTGGTGCTCTACGATAAGTAGACTTCCAGCAGATCTTACAAGGGTAAACAGCACAGGGACTACATCCTGTGGATCTTCTATGAATGCTGATGCTGTTGTCTAAGATAACTGGTTGGACACCAGGTGGAGTTTTAATACGTATTGATCTGTTATCTAGAACTTCCAGAGCAGGTTAGGTGTTCGGTCTTAAAGGTATCCTGGTGAGGTAAAACGATAAGAATTCATTTTTATCTTTATTTTACCTTTATTTTACCAGGTAAGTGAATTGAGAACTGGTTCTCATTTTCAATAGCGACCTGGAATGAATTCACTGTCATAGTAACCCAGAGTTAAACCTGAAGTTACCTCAGTGACCTCACATCCTGCAGGACTCATTTTTATCTGCTGCACATTATGTTACAGGGCCAACTCGTCAGAAAAGACCAGAGACAGCAGTCAGATTGTGGAAAGGAACAAACTTTGATAAAGAAACTTGTTGGGGTGTCAAGGTGAACAAATGAAAGGCGGTTAGAAACCCAGGTCAGGCGAGGGGCATTTGGTGAGTTGTGGTGGAAAGACCCATTTGTTAACCTATTATATATTAAAATATGTCAGAATTGATCGCATTGTTTTTCGCTTTGTCCATTTAAAAACACATACCTGCACCAGCTGCAGCAGATACTTGAGTACGTCGTCATTGGACAGGCTCTCCAGTCTCTGGACCGCCAGTCTTCTGACTTTCTCGTCTGCAAAGTCCATGCTCAGCAGCTCCAGGGCCAGAGTTACATCCAGTTCCTCGGGATCCCAGTTCCCCAGCAGCCAGTGGACGTCCTCAACCACTTTGCGGTTCATCCAATCAATGTTTCGCAGGTATTGGGGCAGGCTGGAGGCATAGTGGATGCTCTCCTGCCGGAACCTTCTCAGGCAAGGTCTGTTCATGGCTGGAGATGGGGATCTGGGGATTGCAGTGTCAGTCACCGTCAAAGAGGAAGAATCTGCGCTGCTTAAGGTGGACGGCAGTGAGGAGGCAGCAGATGTGGTTGGGGAATGGTCAGATGAGGGGCTGTCAGAGTCCTCAGAGGGACTGAAGGTGTTCGGGAGGACCACCGGGAAGCTGTAGCGGTCCAGAAGGAAGCTAATAGCCATTGACTCGGTTATGTCTGGATTAGTAGCGGAGGACAGCTTGTCTGCCTGGTAGGTGACGGCTTCATCCTCCACGTCGGGGTAGGACCACATGTGAAGACTGTAGGAGCCCTGGCTCAGGACGGATCTGCAATGAAGTAGGTAATCCACAATTTAAACTGATGAGGTCAACTGGCTGAGGATCTACAGGGAAGGTTATTGATTCCTACAAAGACAAATTTGTAGTTGATATAAAAAATTAAAAAAAAAAAACTCACCTGTGATCTATGAGGAGAAGATTGACAAAGTAGAGCACCTTCCCTTTCCCCTTCTGCAGGTCTGGTGCCTTAGGGATTGTGGATGATGGTGACTTTGACTCTCTTGTGGTCGAAGCCTTCGAGTCTCTGTTGATAGAAGGCTTTGGATCTCTGATGACTGAAGCTCTTGGGTCTTTGGTTATTGGGGAACCGTCAGTACCGCTTGCATTAATAGTGAGACCCAGCTTGGCTCCACGAGGCAGGTCCCTGAGGAGAACGTCAAAGTCCAGCCACTCGTTCCACAACACTTCATCTGCAAAGGGCTTGGGAGGGGACGACACCGAAGAGAGAACCTTGTTTCCGTAAAGTATGGATGCTTCCACGTAAACCGACTGGGGGCATTTGCTTGGAAGCTTTGGGATATCAAAGCCGAGCAATTTGACTCTGAGCTTTCTGTTGCAGTCCCACAAGGATATCATGAAGATGTCGTCCAAATCCTTCCCCTCCAGACGGAGATCGTCGTGGGAACTGAACTGGCCGCTGAAACCATCAACCAGAGGCCAGTCCACGAACTTGACGGCCTCTTCGGCGAGCTGCGACACAGGAACCACGGAGAGGTGGAGGTCCTGATTGGTTGTCAAGCACTGTCGAACCCAGAGGAAATCACTGAGGGCGTAGTCTCCGGATAGAAACTCCTCTCTCCCAGAAACTTTCAACACCACACTTTCAGAAGCATCATACTCAATCCGCTGGTCTGACATGACCCTTCTGAAAAATGTAATAAGAACACTCGGCGTTGTACTCAAGTCCACCTGTATGCTGAAGCTGAGCTTGTTCATGTAATGGAGGCTGACAGGAAAATGTCTGCTCAGCCAGTCCTGTAGGTTGGCCGGTATGGGGGCAGATGTTATCCAAGGTTCTGTAGCGTACAACTTGTCATCCCGATCCTTCAGCTCTTGTCTTCTGGGAGATGCCAGTTTCCTGCGGGTGAATGTGAGTTCGCCGAGTCTGTCGGACGCTTCTTTCTCCAGGTCGTGTCCAATCAGATAAGTCAGACACTGCTGCTGCTTCTTCTTCACCTCGGAATCAACGGCGACCAGAGCTTTGACCAGTATGTGTGCCGACAGACACTGCAAGTCGTCATACGACCAAGGAATGTCTAAGGTCCTGATAACCTGACAGTCGTCGTAGGCCTCGTACCAGTCGTCCCCCCGGGCGTATAGCAGAGTGTATTTCTCTGGGTCCAGTATGGCAAATGGGTCTGGATGGCAGCTTTGCAACTGTGCCTGAAGGGATAGAGTCAATAGAAACACAATGTGGAATAGAAAGACGTGGATGTTTGTAGTTTGACTATATGTTTAAACAGGAGCCTAATGCTACGCTAATGGCTATAGTGTAGATAGCAATCATTAAAATAGCATCTACGTGGATTGATCAAAAAGCTGCACGACTGGGCCTTTATAAAAATATATTAAAAAAATGATTTAAATTTGGCCCCTATCGGTTTTTGTTGTCAGTGAGGAAATGTTTTTTGGAAGAACGTTCTATAATGTGTCCCTTTAACATATCACATGACAGGAAAGTTATAAAACGTTTCATGTAAAAAACATTCTGTCATCTGAGGCTTTGATAACATCTGGAAAACATTTGCTGAATGTTGATTTGAGAACGTTTTTACTTTGCTATCACAGAACAGAATGTTTTGACAGAAGTTTGTTCTATAATGTTTTTCCTCGACAACTTCCCCAAAATGTCCTCAGAACACTGCAGGAAAAAAAAATTTCCACCTTTGTTAATATTTCACAGCATAGGAACATCTTGTGAAGAGCGTTTAGTCGTCTTGGATCTCGACAACATGTTGAAAATATTTTCTGAAGAACGTTCAATAATGTGTCCCTCAACAACGAGGCTAAATGTTCTACCTTTAATATATCACATTACAACGTTCTGTATTAAAAACATTCTGTCGTCTGAGGCCTCAAAAACGTTTGGAAAACATTTATTTAATGTTGTTGGAAAATGTTCCTCCTTTGGTATCGAGGAACACTGTTAGAATGTTTTATAGAGGAACGTTCTATAGTATATGTGTTCCCTCAACGACTTCCCTAAAACATCCTCAGAACGTTGCAGGAAGAATGTTCCACCTTCGTAATTTATCCCATTACAGGAACATCTCATAAAAATATGTTGTCATGTCTTGACATCTTCCTAAGAACACTTTCCGAATGTTGATTTGAGAAAGCTCTTCCTTTCTGGTCATGTGGGAAATGTTTTATAAAGAACATCCTGTAATGTGTTCCCTCAACAACAAGGCGAAATGTTCTGCCTTTAATATATCACATTACAGTAACAAAATATTCACCTCTGGGCCCACTCACATCTGGAAAACACTTATTGAATGTCACTAGAGAGTGTTGAAGAATGTCATTTAAAATGTTCCTCAACAATATCCTCAAAACGTCGTCACAACATTGTAGGAAGAATGTTACGCCTTTGTTAATATATCAAATTACAAGAATGCCTTATAAAAAATCCTCTGAGGCCTTGATAGCATTTGGAAAACATTTTTTAAATGTTGCTTTGAGAATGTTCCTCCTTTGTTATCATGGAATGCTATCTCACAAGTTCCTCAAAACATCATCTGGATGTTGCAGCTAAAAAGTTCACTTTTAACCCCATAAGAACGTTGTTTAAAACATTCTTTGACCAGTAGATGTAAACTTATAATATGTGGAATCAACATTGGAACTTATAGGTAACGTTAGCCAATGTTGCGAGAATGCTACCGGCTAGCTGGGAAGCACAAAAAAATAATAAACGCATAAAAATCTTTAGAACACTTCAGAAACACTGTCCGGTAGGAGTTTGCATACCTGCATACAGATGTGCAGCCGCAACTGGTAGACGCTGCACTGTGCAGGGAGGACGACTGAAACCGACTCGCAACCAGAACCAACGCCGGAATCCTCATCAGCAGACGTGTGCGAGGAACCGGGTCCATGTTTAAACTCACAGATAAACTTGAGGTTGTTCTCAGAGCAGCTTTGCTTCGACAGTCCCAGCAGACCGTCTGCAGGTTGTGGATAGATCGGCTTATTGAAGAACGCTGCAGTGTCCATTTCTACCCTAAAGGGAGCAAAATCTGAACAAAAAATAAAAGATTCTCAGGTCTGAGGCTGAGGTTAAGGCACACGCATCACCTCGACAGCTTAACTGTTCAAATGTAGTGAAAACAAAGCAAATCCAAGAGAATATTCTAAAGTTACGGCAGCTGGTCCGAGTCGGTCTGTACCTGTCTGACTGTGTGAGCTGTACCTTCCCTTTGTGTGACTGCTCAGAGACTTCCTCATTCTTTAATAGCATCAGCTGTCAAATACCAGCACAGAGACAAACAGAGCACTTACCGACACTGAATTTACTTCCTTGTTCCCTTTTTTGCACTTAGCTAATAAATCACAGCAACTTTTTTTTTTTTAGATAATGCTGCACAGCCAACAGTGCTAAAAACTGCAGGTCAGCTCGGAACAAAGAGGAACATGTAAACTTCTGCATTTCAGTTCTTAATTAAACAGGTGGGAACGGGGCAGTGCACTTACAGGAATTCACCAAACCTGTCTGGCTTGTTTGGCCTGCAGTAGTGAGAAGTCTCTGCAGAATGGAATGTGGATGTGCTTCATATTAAACTATGATGCAGTTATTGTGTTTGGAGGAAAATCTCCAAAGTGTCCCAGCGGGGATGTCCAAGACAGACGGTAGGACGGGAAGAGAAACACGTCAGAAACATAATTTTGTTTTGCAACTTAAAATAAATTAGTCTGATGTTCTGCTTAAACAACATACATGTAGATTTTTATTAAGCACTACAGGCAACTGCAAGATAATTTAATCATTTGATCATCACATGTTAAATCAGTGGCAGTCTGATACTGATATACAAGACAAAGCGCTTACAGACAGGTTCAGGTCAGGACTTCAGGGAGACCAGTCTAAAACTTTCATTCCAGCCTGATTTAACCATTTCTTCACCGCTTTGATGTGTGTTTGGGCTCATTGTCTGGTTGGAACATCCAACTGTGTCCAAGATTCAACCTCCTGCTGATGGTTTCAGGTTCTCCTGAACAACGTGGAGGTGATCCTCCTTCTTCATTGGTCCATTGATTTTGTGTAAAGCTCCAGGTCCACTGGCAGCAGAACAGAACCAGAGCATGATGCTGCCACCTCCATGCTTGATGGTAGGTTTGGTGTTCTTGGGGTTAAAGGCCTCACCTTCTCTCCTCCAGACATGGTTCTGTTCCTGCATCAGATTTTTACTGAAGTTGTAAAAGTAGATGAAGAGAATCCAGTTCAATGAAATAAGCTGAACAAATATTGTATTCGTTCACTTATTCATCGATTAAAATGATGTAATATGACACATCATTGAGTGGTGAAAGTATGTGAGTCTTTTGTTCATCAGGTTAAAGAAAGATAACAAGCCATCTCTGAAGACTTTGGACTCCAACAATCCACAGTTGGAGAGACTCCAAAAGAATCCAAACAGAGCTCAGTCCAAGAACAAGGCGTCTGACAGTCTGCAAGGTCAAACTTCTGGACGTTCAGAGTTTTTCTGACTTGCTCAAAAACTAAGCTCCATCATCTGAACCGATTTATTCAATCTGTCATTCTTTTAGCAAAACCAGAAACGATTTTCACCAAGTTAGACGCAATTGACGGATCTCAGTTTCTTGTTTTCTCTCTGACGAAAACGCATTTTGCACGATAATGCGATTGTGATGCATATTAGTAACCACAGGTGACCGAAGTTAAACACAACTGAAGCAAAAGTGCCATATGTTACACACAGCGACGGCTCAGAATTGATGAAACCAATAAAAGCCGGTTCACAGGCGGCTGAAGGTCGACAACAGATGGAAACAATAAGAGAAACAGAGGATGAGCGTGTGCAAGACCACAAACTGTGATTACTGCGATATTTCATTTTAATCTTGTTTTTCAGATGCATCTTCACGTATAATATCATATTAATCATGTGTAATCATCATAATATTATCATGTGTGATATTAGCACAGTATCACGCCAGCATTACTTCTTACGGCTTTATTCTGTCTTACTTATTTCAATGATGCCTCATACTTACATCTTATTGCTTTTCTACCTTTTGAACGCCGCATTTCTCATATTCAGCCATTTTATTTTATCTGAGCAACGTCTGGCCGAAGAGTTTCCTTTGATTTATGAGGTTTTGTCTTGTCGTACTGATGAACCTTGATGCTTTTATTTTTATTGTCAGTGTTGAATCCACTGAGTTGTGAATAGTTTCTTTCTGAAAACTCCTGATGCATGTATTTGAGGTGATGCATTTCGTTTTGTGGGCTTTTGTGAGCGTAGGATGAAAACAGAAAAAAAAAAAACCTGCAGTCCCAAAATTTATGAGTCTTCTAGCAACAAACAAGCAAACAATCAATCGCCTCAGAACCAAACAGTGTTCTCAGTTCATACACAAAGCCGGTCAAAACAAAAGACTGATTACACGCTCCGTCAGAGAATGAAAAATGTAATAAAACGCAGTGTTCAGGGCATTTAGCTCCAGGACACCCACAAACGAAATAAACGTTTATTATTTACATGTATTTTAGTACATTCATGAGGAGTTTCTTTCAATAGAAACTATAAAAATACACAAAACAGTGAACACCAAAAAATACACAGTGAAATGTACACTACGAAACACTGGAACCGCAAAATCAAATTCAAAGCTTCAAAGTCTTTGTTCTGGGTCAAGACAGACAGAGGACTAACATTACAGACGCTGGTGTCCAGACTTACTTGGCCAGACTCCGCATTTATGCCGCCACCGTCTAATTACATGACCTGTAGGAGAGTTTAACTGGTGTAAGGTTGCTGGTCGTGCACGAGAAGAACTTGGGTTTAAGAAGAGGGAATGTCATTGTAAGCAAACATTTTTACATTCCTGGTTGCTGTTGAACCACCATAATGTGACAGAGACAGGATGCTCTGCCTGCTCGTCATCCTGCTGCTGCATCCTGAAGATGAAGCAGAAATGTGAGAATATGTTGGTTTCATCACATCATTAGCAACAAGTGTGGTCAGCTTTAAGTCGTCAACGTGATCTCTGAGTTGTATCTTTGGGGTTTATGCCGCCCTTCAGGAGACACTGAACAACAGAAGTGTGAATCCTGCTGCACATCAGCAATTTGTTAAGATTACGTGGACCAGCCAGGACACTTTTGGAAAAATAAAACAGAACATTGTGGGTAAAATTAGATGTTTGGACAAAATAAAGCAGAACCTCATCCCACCTGTGAAACACGGTGGCGGCAGTATCATGGTTTTGACTTCGTCTGGGCCAGAACGGCTCAACATCACCGATGGAACAATGAATTCTGAATTACTGGAGAAAATGTGAAAGGAGTTCATGTGAGGAAACCCAAAAACATCCCAGATTCCTCCAAAGCTGACAGAACATTGGTTTCAGTTGACACGATTCAGCAGCCACACAGGGATGAAGTCCATCATAAAGCATCTCTGAGAAAAGCAACACTTCTACTGACTCATTACCTTTCCTCTCACAGGTACATTTATAGCTCCATTCTGTCACAGAATGAACCTTGAGCAAAATGACTAACATTAAATTCTCTAATTTGGGGGAAAAACTCCAGAAAAAACTCTTGTCATGCTGCAGGATGTGAACGGAGAGCAACCTACGTCCCATAATGGGGGCGGGATGACATGGAGGATGATCCAAAACCAGGACGTCCCTTAACGACAAGAACATCCAGACTGACAGTGTGATGGTTGTGCAGCTGGGATTGAATAGGGAGTCAGTCAGGACCATGTTATTGGATGATTTGGGCTTTTTTCGGTCCTGGTGACGCCTCCAGCTGCTCCAGAACATCCTGGGACACCATGTACGCTGCAGGTCTTTCAGTCCTTGG